TCTGCGGTGGGGGAGGGGGCGGCGGTGGCGGCGGTGGCGGCGGTGGCGGCGACGGTGGCGGTGGTGGAGGTGGAGGCGGCGGTGGAGGCGGCGGTGGAGGCGGTGGCGGAGGCGGAGGCGGTGATGGCGGCGGTGATGGAGGTGGCGGTGGCGGAGGCGGAGGCGGTGATGGCGGCGGTGATGGCGGTGGCGGTGGCGGAGGTGATGGCGGGAGAGGTGATGGTGGGGCGTTCGGTAACGGAAGAGGAAGAGTTGAGGCTTGAGAAATCGGGCAGCACTCGCACGTAGTGTCGAAAATAGCTGCTGCACAGAAGCCCGACGGGTAGCCTGGCGGCGGAGTGCAGAGCTGCTCCAGGGTGGTGCAGCCCTTGCCAAGCCTGTTGTTCTTAAGGATGATGCACACCTCCGCATTCTGGGCGCTCGTCGTGTCCAACCCCAGTTGCGTGAGCCGCAGAACAGCCGTGCCATTCCGGCCGTTAACAGGCCGTCCGAAAGCCGCACCGATTCGCGTGTAGACGCCATTGATTGTGGCCTTCGCCTCCGCAGCTGGCTGCACAATGCAGCTGTCGGAAACATTGAACTGCGGGTGCAGGCCAAGGAACAAGAAGGTCAAGAGCTCAGCACTAATTCGAGGCGTGCACATGCCAAGCGCCAATTGCGTAGGAGCTAACAAGCGTTTGGTGTGCATGAACTCGTCTTTACGCCGAAGAACCGCCAAGCCCTCAGGCCCCCCAACCCAACCACCACGCGTACGATGCTTTGGACTGCCCGCCGCACCTCGGGTGCCATTGAATCACAACGGAATTCCCGCATTTACCTCAATCTTGTGCAGGTCTACTCCGCAGCATTGATTTGTACAACTCTGGACTTTGAGGGTGAAGCAGAAGTGGCCCGGAGCGCGTTGCGTCACGTTGGGCAGGAACCGATAAGCGCCAATCTTTGAGGCGCAATTCCGGAAGGGGAACGCTGGTATAAGACCTGTCTGTTCACCAGCAGGTGCGTCGTAGTCGTTGTATTCCCCGAAAGAGTAAAAAGGGTCCTCCCCGTACGCATCCGCGATTGCAGCCCTACAAGGATCAATAATGAAAATTATTTCGCTGTATCAAGGATTATTCAAAGCATCGGGCGCGTTATTGGTATCAACTCTTCCAAACATGTGATGTTACACGCAGAAGTGCTGCCTTCAGAAATATGGAAGGGTTGGAAGCAACCATAGTTTATGAATCCTACTTACAGAATGTTAATTTATAATCAGGCAATCAGAAACATGATTAGCACGTCCTTGTCACTTACCACGCAACCGCAAGAACTGCGATCGCAAGCAGTGTATTCCGCATCATCTTTAATATCAAAGAAATGCAATAATTATTAAAATATCAGAGCCTACTTTTATGTGCACCCAACGTAGGCGAGCGGCCGACGGGTGGTGTACCGGTACGTAAAGGCTGGCGGGCGGATGCCCCCTCCAAAGCAGGTCCCCGGATGTTGCAACAGTATGGGACCATTAGTTGCAATGAATCACAAGACTCCAATTTTACAATCTTTTTTGTGACAATGCCATTCGCGGCGCAATCTTCGCTTGTAGAGCGCTTGCCATCGAAACAATAGCCCGTTGCACGTTACCTGGCCTTGCCACCTTCCGCGCATGTTCGTTACGACAAAAGTCAATAAAACGTATAACTTTGCCAATAATCCACCAAGATGTGCAAAGACAACCTCCCTCTACAGCAGGAGCCCTGCCTTTGAATGCTGACCGTGACTGCTGACACATATGTCCGCGCCCATTCTGACCGATCGCCAAACGCCATTTGCTCGTCAGTATTTGACTGTTGCCTGTCAGTGTTTGACAGTTGTGTGTCACTATTTGACTATGAGGAACCGCGCGCGCATCGACCACTGCACCCCGGCTGACCCTTGGAGATCAGTCCTGAGAGCCGCGCCGTCCAACTCCTAACCTAATCTGGCCTACATCCTTCCCGCTTCCCCCCGGGCATCAGCTCCATGACGAACACTTACCAGCTGCAGTCTACCTTCTAGATCCAAGCCCCGCGCCCATGCATCTGCATCCGAGCCCTTCTATCTGTTGAATTTGATTGCGCCTGCGAAACAGTCCAGCCCAGCCCAACCACTACTTGCGGGATTGCCACATGCATTAAAAGACAGTGCACACACCGTACTACCCCCACAATCTCGGTAGCAAAGTAGGGTCGTAGGGACTCCTGCTGCGTATTCCAGGTTTATCTTATCGTACAAGCAGCACGCAGCTCGAAGTAGGGCTACTTCCCAGGAAAGAACCCAGGACGGCTAGCAGGAAATAGGTGTTTGCGTGTAATGATAATGAAAAGAGCTTCAGGTCTTTCTCGAGTAGTTGCACTTCAAGAGTCCAATGGTATCCCCCCGGCAAACCAACCGCCATGCCTCAGGGGAGAACCAGCCGTGGTTCGCCGCCCGCAAAAGCCGCATTCCCAAACACATCCAATAAAGGATGCAACAAGTTACAAGTTACAAGTTACAAGTGCCGCACGAGTGCGGGGGGGCCCGTCAAAGCCGGGAGGCCATGGACTATATATTTTGAAAGTTAATTACACCGTACGACCGACGGCGGTTTGGGTCCTGCCAACTAGACCCCTCCTCATCCAGTCACCCGACATCCGTAGAGACAGATCAGCCACCACCACCATCTCAGCATGCGAAACTTAGTCCATCAACTAGACCTCATCTCCACACCTCAGCAGCGTTAGTAAACCTAGACCTCCCGAACAATGTCGGGGTCTGACCAGGAATCGAACCCGGAACCTTCATATACACAAAGGCGCCACCAGACCAGACCAAAAAATTTGGACCATTTCTCGATTTGTGCGTAGAGTTAGACAACCAGCGATATAACGTATGGCAGCAGTCTGACAGGAAGCCGGGCTGCATAGGATTTCGGCCTTTCGGATTCTGTCCGCTGTCGTCGGCCATTTCTACAACTTAGATCAGTTGCGTGCCGAGTTGTCGTTGAAGGAATTCGGCTTGTGAGTGTGTTCTTGCTGTTATGTGTGCTGTTATCTACACACTACGTCGCTATTGAACACACCGAGCACCACAGACAGTCCATGCGGCAGTGCTAGTATGGACGGTATGTGTGTGTGTGTGTGTGTGTGTGTGTGTGTGTGTGTGTGTGTGTGTGTGTGTGTGTGTGTGCGTGTGTGTGTGTGTGTGTGTGTGTGTGTGTGTGTGTGTGTGTGTGTGTGTGTGTGTGTGTGTGTGTGTGTGTGTGTGTGTGTGTGTGTGTGTGTGCGCGTTGGCGTTGGCGTTGGCGTTGGCGTTGGCGGTGGCAGCGCCCGGATTGAATTTGCGAGCATACGGGGCAAACTAGAGCCGCTGATGGGGATGCCTGGTGTTACCCCACCCTCTGGGATGCGATGGGGACCGCTGTGTATGAGCCGCGGTACGGGGCTCGCCTTTCCTGTCCTGCATGTATGCAGCGCTTAGGTGCTGGCACCACCACCTGTGGTGCCACCACCTGTGATCCGTTCAAGTCCCTTGCGAAGATATTTATATATTCGTTTATTTTTTATTAATTTAATCACCAAACAGTGGAAACTACGTCTGCTTTAATGTCGTCATTCATTTGTTTACCGTTGCCGAGACGATCTGTGGTTTGAGGACTGATTGTGGATAGCGCAGCCTGCCTGCGGTTAGGCGGAAGAGGCTTTGCTCCGGCCGCGGGGCCTTTCCCTGGAGCAGGTTAGCCCGCTTTAGGCAATAATGTAGCTGCTGGTCTACGCTAATCTGTAGCTCTTTAGCATGAGGGGCGATCACGCGCGCTTCCAGTCCAGCCGCGATGGAAAATTTTGATGGTACTGTTGTTAGCTCGGTTATCGATCGAGATTGAAGGTGAGACAGCTGACCATGGAAGTGCAAAAACGGCATTGGCAGCAGCGGCAGCAGGTGTAGCCGTTTGTCATAATAAGATGTCATCATCGGTTATTACAATAACCTGCAAACACAAAACTTAGAAGGTAGCCTGAATTCCGATGTTGCTGCTGCATGACTAATGAAAACGTCCAGAAAATTTGAGGCTTTAAAATAAAGATGCTGCGGCGTTATGTGCTTCCTTATTTATTTATAGGCGTGCAGCATGAAACATCTTTCCTAATGACGAAAAGGGCCTTCGCGTTCATGCATCGTATGAACCCGGATATCCGCAACCCCGCACCGAACTAAATAACACTCCAGATTTTGATGACAATACTTGCACTCGGTCGCTTATATTGCTGAGCACAGCGTCCAAGCACCCCAGCGCTCGTCCAAGGCCCCATGAAAATGACCCTCGCCCGCCGCAAAATGACCAACCGCCTGGATGCTAAACGTTTTGGACGTGCCAGATTTCCTGCCGTCTGACTGACGCAGAAATTGACTGGCTTTGACCGCCTGACATCCAACTTGACCCTGTCACATATAAGCAGGTTTAATGATAGCTCATTATTCTATTTGTGGATAGCTTATCGCTCAGTCCTACTGTGTTGCGCGTTACAGAAGCTAAGCCGGCAGCCGCCAGCCGGCAGCTTGGTAGCAAAACACACAACCCGGTTGCGAAGGGCCCATCCCAACACCAACCCATGGTGAAAGTTGCACTAGTGCCCGATAATGATGACAGTTACCCGTGTTCCACCGCCAAAGAGCCCCCGGGACTTAAAGGACAAGCGGCTTGCCGTCCCCTGCCGTACTGTGGTCGGGCACATGCGTGCATGCATGCGCCCTGCTTCCACGCAACACGACAGTTCCTTTCGAAATAACGAACTACTCGCCTATCTCTACACAAGGAAGAGGAAGTAGTGACCAGCTGCTCGGCCCAAATCCCACATATAAACGCGAAACGCTTATTTTCCTCCAGCAGCCCTATGTGCGTGTATGACGCATCCCATTCTATTATAGGTCCCATATTCTCCCGCCTGCCTTGCTCCTTCATGACATCATGCAACTGATCCAGTGTTTATTTTTTTGGTAATATATTACTTTTTTGGGAATAAATGGGGGTCTGAGCCTGGAAGAAATGGAATAATTGGTCAGTTGGCCGTACTGGTTCATTACTTCGGCCATAAGTCGCACCAAATGCCTTCTGCACATATAAAGCTGAACATCTGGAGCTTATACACTATTTATATATAAAATATTTGATGATATCACCATGAGACGGCCAGCTGTTGCATTCAACTTAGGTCAACGGGGCATTCGTTCATTCTTGACCAAAGCAAAGGGCTCAGAAAGTCCGCAGACGCAATGCCCCAAACATTTAGAAGAAGAATTAGATAATACAGAAGACAAGGATAGGCACTTCGTAGTTGCCGCTCTTGAAGTCAGTGAATCCAGCGATTTGAGCGAAGTCGGCGGCTGGTGCAATGCAGTGGTGTTGATGGTGCCGACAGTGTACATATATATAACTTTGGCTTCGCGTGCTCACGACGTTGATGGACAGTCAAAGTGGCTCCGCGCCCTGCTCACAGAGACACTGGCGCCAATGCAGTTAGGTGCACAGAACGATGGTGGTACGACATGTGTGTTTCCAGACGTCAGGTGTTGTTTACAGCACACCGTACAGCCTTTGAGGGGGGGGTCTGGGGGGGGCGCAGCCCCCCCCAGCGACTATACAAAAAGGAATTGTAACCGCAAGAAACACCCAGTTTATTACTCTAGGGTATTAGGCCCCAAACGAAAAAAAAAACACTGAACTGATCCTACCCCCTTTGCATGACTCTACCTGCAAGAGCTATCACCTACTTTTTAGATTCTCTTAATTGGAGGACTTTTGAGGCTCAGGCCTATTTCAATAATAATTGGGGGTCCTGAGCCTTCCCTTTGGTCGCGGTTTTGGCTATCTAATTGCCTTTAGTTGTCTCATCTGGGTTGTCGCGTCATACGACTGTAGCATCGACAAAACACGTGCGTACGGCAGACTCGTGACGCTTAAATGTCGTGGCAGGGTGATTGTCTAGTTTGTATATTAGTCTCTAGTGCCGTAATGCACGGCCAGCTGGCTGGCCCGCTGGCTCTACTCTTCGTGAGTCTGGAGCCCACTGTAACAACCACACACGTGTCCTGACCCAGCTCCTATAGAACTGGGTTATCTTAGCCACACATCAGGCCCCCTGTGCCGCACCGCCGTCCCCTGTGGGAACCCCTTTGATGCCGCCGCCGCCAGCCTCCGATCTTTGTTGCGTGTTAGTTGCCTGGTCTGCTGACCACGTACACGGTCCCGCTAGGTATTAACGTGCGGCCCTACCAGCCCAGCCCTACCAGCCCTGCTGCAACCGTTGTGGCGACCCCACGCTCCCTCGCAGCCGGGTGGATATCACCCTGGGGGGAAACTGCTAGCTATGGGACTTCAATACCCCCCCCCTCGATGAGCGAGGAATAACACGCTGCTTCCTTCGTTTGAGGATTTGCGCACGTATGCCGTATGTTTATGCGGCGGCGATGATGAACTGCTGCATCTGACAGCGGAAACGGATGATGTTGGGCATATAGTTACACACAGGCATCCCGCATGGTAGGTGCGTGTGCACGCATGTCGTACACGGAAAAAGAAATGTCGGCCCAGGGACTGTTCACGCCACGGCCCGTGTGATTGCTCTCCCAGAAGCCGTAGCATGGGGGCATGTATGGAAAGTGCAGCACGCGCTACGGCTGCCATGACTACTAGAGCCAGCTAATTTAGCGTGCGCAAGAAAGAATGCTAGAGCGCATTCGTCGCGATTAAAACGATCAAGAAAAATAATTGTCTATCCACAAGCAATCAATTTGCGCGTTAGGCGGGGATCGGTAGCCCTCATGCATAGCACCTAGCTAGCTAAGAATGACCTGCACGGCACATACACACGCACGCACGCACGCACCCGCCTTACGAGACGCACGTAGAAATAGTCCCATGCATCTTTGCACATACGGCCATCAAGGACACAACCTTAATTCCTCTCCAAAACGGCTTGCGGCGGACCAAGTGCGTGCGTGAGGAGCACCGTCCGTGGTTAGGTTAACGTCCATCCGTACATGTGTGCGTGCGTGCGTGTGTGCGCCTAACTATAGCCCTATCTAGCCCCAAACAATGTAATTGTATACAAAGCAATAAATGATGGAGGGGAGGGCTGAAACCGGTGAGGGACTTGACACACACGTACATCCAGCAGATGTCGCCCCGCTAGCCCTAGGCGGCCACATATGCGACACACAAAGCTAGCTGTTTCTCGTCACACACAAAAAAATGCATGCGAGATGCGACCCAGATGCACAACCTCGCTGCCACCAACAATAATGACGTTCATCATATTTTCCTAAGGGTCTGATTCGAACGCACACGCACACGCACATCCACATTCAATCATAACATACACACACACAAACACATACATCTGGAGGTGACTTAGTTCATTTGAGGGTAGATAGAAAGAAGATGATTTCATGCAAAGAAAGGTAGATGGTTCAATTCCTAATGGACTTAGGGTTTGGCGAGCAGGTAGTTCAGGCCCCCAATCCCGAGTATCAATCATATTTAACAAATATGTCCAATGCTCCCCCTCACCCGTCATTCTATGCAAGCAGGAAAACCCTTTCCTGCTGCTAATACAGCTCCCCGCTCCTGCTTTCTTGCCTCATCCTGCCGGTAGTGCTAGCTGCTAGCTTCAACGTGCAAATGCCTCATGCACACCCTTGGCGGTTGCTTGGGTGTCCATCGCTGCCCTCATGCACCCACTCACACGACAACGGCCTAATACTAACCCCCAAAACAACCGAACGGCCAGGCGCCCGGGCGGCCAGGCGGCCGGGCAGCCGGGCGGGCAACCCCAACGTTTCACAACGCCAGAAACCCCCGCAGCCTCTGACCATCTACCCGGGCAGGCAAGGCCGCGCAAAACATCATCACATCTCCTCCCTATCCCTCTCCCACTACCACACCCGTTCCCCGGGTGGGAGGGGGGGCCCCATAGATCCATGGATGGATTGGCTAGGCTCTCCGCCAAGCGCACACGCCTGCCTGATACGTTACACTGGCAGGTCTACTACCTGGTCTCTGCTACCACCCAGCACTCTGCTACTGAAACAATCAATGGGGGCCAAGCCATTTCCTGCTGATGGTGGCAGCCAACTTACACGACAATACCATGATCTAAAACGTGCAACAAACTGTATTGCTGTATGATTGTACGGCTACGGAGATGTGCTTTGTGTAGACCCTTCGTGTACATCATACCCGGCCACTGCCATCCGCTCTGCCGTAGCGAGCCACAGCCTTGGTACGGTGTTCATCCTCGGTCTGTCCGAATGTATTTCTGTCACCGATGATGCGCGCCGCTTGACGTCCAGCACGGAATTATTCATCGTCCACCGTCCATCGCACACGCACACGCACAGGACCGTGCGCAGCCGGACGAGCGGTGGCCCATGTACGATCGACATACAGACTCACATAGATTGGCCAAGCAGTCGTGCTAGGTATAACCTAGCAAGCATGAGTTGTGCAGCGGGCTGACTTATGATCGCCCTGAACGGTAGACGGGGCAGCAGCCGCTGTTGGTGCCGTACACCCTCACAAAGCTGCACGGGGGGGTGACACACGGGGGGATATACACACACACACAGAATCGGGTCAGGGTGTGTCTGGGGGGATAGGTGGGGGGAGCTGGGTGATAGTAGACAAGCTAGTCCGCACCCCCTAGCTGCAAGGGGCGCAATGGCCGGCGGCCGAGAGCGCAGGTAAAGAGCCTAGAGGTATGACGGCTCCACCTTCCAATAGTTCACGACTTTGATCAGACGCTTGATCAGGCAAACAGTTTCTACGTTTCATCATTTCTCTCCTCCAGTTCACTTCGAACGGGCGGAAAAGCGAGCGGATAACAGCAACAACACGGCTGTACAAGCCAAAAGATATTTTTTTCCTGGATATGATATTATACAGCCCGGCGAATCCATTCTTCCTGCCGCCGCTCAACCGACCCCAGCAGCCAGCTGTGATGTGCTGAGCTGTGCTATGCCAACCACGTCTACACGCGCACACGTCGCACACCATGTGCACCTCCGTTGCTTACCACTGGGAGGGGATGCCGAGACACAGCTCGTCCATGATCTTGGCGTTATCCAGCACAATGCACACTCGACCACCCTGGGCTTGAGCGAGGCTCCAGTTAATGTTGGTGGCTGCAGCAACAGATATATAGGAAGGGCAGCGGCGGCGGCGGCGGCGGCGGCGGCAGTCCGTCATTAGTAGGCCAAGCAAAAGCAGGTGGAGGGGAGGGGAGAGACGCGAGGCGTCTCGTTTAGGGGGAATCAGGAACTTGCCGAACGTGCTCAGCAGCTCTTCGCCATCCTTAATGTTTATGAGGCGTGCAAGAACCCGCACGCCGTTCTTGCAAAGAGAGGGGTCTAATCCTTCCCCCCCTTAATGCAACTGATGGATTCCCCCTTCCCCGTCGTCCTCTCCCAACACAGACACACAGACAGACAAACGGACACACTTGCATACACTTACATACATACACAGACGCACACGTGCACATATACACACATATACACGCAGGTACGGCGCTAGGTAGCTGTCTCCCTCGCGTACCTCTCAGAGTGTTTGTGCCCATCGGTCCCCAGCTGACAGGCAACGTGGCCTTGGTGCCGCCAGCCGGATACACGTTGAGTCCCTTCACCAGGGTACCCATGGCTTGGCCTGCGGTCAAAGTGGCGAGCAATGGGGAGCAGACAGCAGACAACAGACAGCTGAGAGTTCCGACACGCATATGTTGGAATCATATGATCAAGGTACGGAGCGTGTTTAGGACTGGGTTTTGAGAAAGTGACCAACACTCACATTCATATAATACCAGTGAATTGTGACAGCAGTAACAGGACTCTGGGGGCCGTCCGTGGCGCTTTGCTGAGTCTACAACTGACATCAGTGGAGTGCCATTCGGGGTAAGTGCTGTATCTGCTTGCTTGCTTGCTGACACGCATACACATACATACAAACGTACATACATCGACGCATACACACACATTTACGCACATACATTTCCCTTCATCGCCATCATCCGCCCACTTTGCGTGGTTTGTTTCTTACTGATGCACTTACTCGCATACCACTCGACAGTGGTGAGGACGCCGTTGGAGGCGCTGCCGCTGCCGCAAGCGCTCTGTGTGTGGGGGGGCCAAATTGCATGGTGAGGGGCCCAGCAAGCAGGTCCGTCAAACAATCAACCGATTAACCGATTAACCTATTACTCAGCCATTCTGCTCTCTAATGAAAGGCGTTCAAAAGCGCCTTGGCAGTAGCGGCAGTTGCGGCAGTAGCGGCAGTAGCGGCAGTCGCGGCAGTTGCCAGTCCGTCCTTGATAGCGGCACCCCATAGCCCGTGTTGGGCAGCAGCTTGGGAGCATTTACGTATGTGTGTATGTATGTGTATATGTATATGTGTGTGTGCGCCTGATTTGGACAGCCCCCGGGCCCCCAGGGCTACAGGTACGTATGGGCCTTGCCCCCTTTTGGTTGTACCTTTTGGTGAGTAATGCGATCAATAAGATGATGCAACACACACAGCATTACATACATACATAGATAGATACATGCATATGTGTGTCTTACCGGCACGATTTGGTCTGGGGTTATCGTGTTCACCGTGAAGCAGTACTCGGTGGTGTTGGGCTTCCTGTCCGCCACCGAGTAGCGAGTGGACACTGTGAATGGCAGAGTGCCCTGGGTCATGTTGCACCTGAGGGGAGTGGGTGAGGGGAGTGGGTGAGGGGAGTGGGTGAGGGGAGTGGGTGAGGGGAGTGGGTGAGGGGAGTGGGTGAGGGGAGTGGGTGAGGGGAGTGGGTGAGGGAGAGAGGGTGAGGGAGAGAGGGTGAGGAGAGTGGGTGAGGGGAGTGGGTGAGGGAGAGAGGGTGAGGGAAGAGAGGGTGAGGAGAGTGGTGGATAGCCAGGAGCCCCCAAACCCCACATCTCCATTGCATCCCAAACCACTCTCAACCCTTCACCCCCCCCCCGTCCCCCCTTCACCCAGAACCTACGTGCTGCCCGGGAAGGGTGTGGGGGACAGGGAGCACGCGAGGGAGGAAGAGAGGTCCAGGCACGTGCTGCCCTCGGTGGTGATTTCCACCGTGTAACCCTCCAACTCGGGCTTGCAAACACTGCCGCCGCCTGCGGCTTGCTGAATGAGGTACGGCATCAGACCGTCGGCCGTGGCCTTGAAGGCCTGAGCGTCGGCCGACAAGGCGAAAGTGCCGCACACGCGAACCTCCAAATCCGAACAGAGGGCCGCGACTGGTGCAAAGTACGACAGCATGTCCACGCCATTCTGGTAGAGGGCGCCGTTGATGTAGTTCGCGATGTTGTCTTGAATGGTGAAGCACGTACGATTGTCGTACCGGTACGGACGTACGTCGATGGCCGGAGGCTGCAGCTTGGCGGCAATGCACACCGAGCATCGGTCTGGTAAGCGGTCC